TCCTCAAGCACTGGATTGTCTCTGCCCTGGGGATGTTCTGTCTAGCTCTTTCTAGCTTGGATCTCCCAGCAGGCCTATTTTTAAAGACCCAAAATGTATAGAGCAGTGGTGAAATCTAAAATTTGTTACTACCGATTCTGTGGGTGTGGCTTGATGGGGGGGATAATGTGATGGTAGGCGTGGCCAATTTTTTTTTTTACTTTTAAAACCATTTTTTTACATGTAAAACCATGTAAAAAAATGCTTTCAAAAGGCTCTGACGATCCCAGCTGAGTTGCCTGATTATCAGAGGGTTTTTAAAAAACTCTGCCGATCAGGCAACTCAGCTGGGATCGTCAGAGCTTGGCTCGTCAGAGGCATTTAAAAGAAAAAAAGCTTCCGATGATTGCGCGGCTCAGCTGGGCATGGGGGGGCAGGGGCAGGGATTTTTGCTACCAGTTCTCCGAACTGCCCGCTGCCATTGCTACCTACTCACACGAGCCGGTCTGAACCAGGAGCATTTCATCCCTGGCATAGAGACTTTTGTTCACAATCATTTGCACCTGGCCAGGGCTCTCATGAGCAAGTTGAACTCCACTTTAAAAAAAAAAAAAAAAAAAAAACTTTTACTGCTATAACAGTGTCCCTGGATGGGCTAGCATAGTCCAGAGAGGACATTTCCCTTGGGACCACCTGAGTTGCCCATGGATTAGTTACCAGACTGGAATTATCCTTACCAACTTGATCAGTCCTTTACCACAGCCCGAAGAACGCTAGGGACTTCTCCACAAGTCTCAGATTTTCACAGCCCTGAATTTACCTTGGCTGGTTACCAGACTTGAGACATCCTTATCAACTTGATCTAGTGAGACCTTTATTACAACACCTTTCAGGCACGGATCACTGTTCCTCTATCATTTCATCCTTTACCACGGCCAAAGACCACTAGAGACTTCTCATCCACACACTTCTCACACAAGTCTCAGATTCTCACAGTCCTACCCAACCCACCAACCGCCTAGGGAGTGCGTTTTTATTTTACAAGAACTACTCACCCCTAGGTTTGTGCACAAAGTCTGCCCGGTCTATTCTGGCAATTCCAAAAACTGGTACCTTCCCTCTCTTTCCGTTTCAATCGACCATTATTAAAAATGGGGGTCTGTGTTTTGTTCTGCACTCCTGAACAGCCAAGTCAACTGCAGACCATTGAAATCAATGGGGCATGCCTTCTTCACTCGACCCCACTGCTCAGGGCATCAGAAGAAAACAAAAGATTGCCCGCATTCTCCACCAATTTGTTGGAAATGAATTCAACCAACAAACATGGGTTGATGAAAACAAAGAGACTTTATTAAAAGAAAATATTAAAAACAATTTTGCAAAATAGGGTGGTATCCCAGCAGACCTCAACAAGGAGTTTGAGCCAGGAAGCCACACCTAAAGTTTCAAAAGCATTACAGTTTATAGTTCCCGACACCCCCCATGCCCCTCCTACATCGCATCCAGTGACCAATCACAGATAATCCGAAGCGCCTTTTAGAGAGAACATCATCTCTTTCTCTAATTATATGTTCATCAACACCTACCTATACCCATACAATATTTTGCAAGCATAGCTCTTTCTTATCTCTATTACCTTGACATTAAAGAGTGGGCCTCTTTCTAAGGGGCCTCAAACAAAAGAAGATCTATTCTAACACATTGTTACATATTGGTTTGCTTTCAGCATGTTCTTCAACTATCTTAAAGCAGAATAATGTCTAACAAATTTAACAGAGTAGCAGAGCTGGAAGGGACCCTCCAGGTCATCCAGTCCAACCCCCTGCCTAAGCAAAATTGAATCTTCACTTATATGCATTTCTAACCTATATACCTACATACTATTTTATTTTTGAATTTTCTCATACCCTACACTTACAATATACACTGCTCAAAAAAATAAAGGGAACACAAGCAGAAGACATCCAAGATCTGAATGAATGAAATAGCCTTATTTTAAATACTTTGTTCGTTACACACAATAGTTTTGTTCCCTTTAGTTGTTTGAGCAGTATATAAACTACTGTATGTAAAGAACAAAGTATTTAATAAGGCTATTTCATTCATTCAGATCTCGGATGTCTTCTGCTTGTGTTCCCTTTATTTTTTTGAGCAGTATACTTGTGTGGAACACAAGCATCTTCAAAGACCTGCATTTCTCTACTAGATCCAGGGCCGGATTTTCCTATAGGCTAACTAGGCTTCAGCCTAGGGCCTCAAGATCAAGAGGGGCCTACACAGTGGTGGGATTCTGGGGGTTCTAGAGGGTTCGGCCGAACCCTTTGTTAAATTGCTGGCTCACCCGCCCTCGCCTCCCACCCGCGCGGCGCCAGCCTACCGTAGCCAGGGGTAGGCAATTGTGACTCTTTTACAACCTGTGGACTTCAACTTCCAGAATTCTGGGAGTTGAAGGCCACAGGTTGTAAAAGAGCCACAATTGCCCACCCCTTCCCTAGCCTGAGTTCCGCTGCCTGGGATCCACGTGGGCTGCCACGTGGTTCCCCACCGGTTCCGGACGCAAGAGAGCAGGATGGAGAAAACAGCTTCCATGCCTTCACTCACCCTCACTCTCTGCTCTGTTGGATCGCCGGCCGTTCGCTTACCCCGCCCACTCCCCATCTATTGCTGCCTCCGATGGCTAGAGGAAAAAAAAACTTCAAATTCTTGCCACGGGGCTTCAAAGGGAGAGCCAATGGTGCCAATGGTGCAGCCGAACCCTTTGTTAAATTGCTGGCTTGCCCCGCCCCTCCGCACCACTATTTATTGCCAATAAATAGTGGTGGGCGAGGGGGGGGGGGGAGCCAGCAATTTAACAAAGGTTTCGGTGCTTTTTTTTGTAATGTTATTGGCCCACGGAGCTTCAGCATAGGCTAATTGGCCTCCCGGCTCTCAGCTGATTTGTCTCAGCTGTTTTGCTCAGGGCTCTTCTGCTTTCTTGCAAAGAGTGCTGATTTTTTTTCCCCTAGCTTTGCTGAGAAACGAAACTGAAACTGCTTTGCTGTTGCTGCAAGGTTGGAAAATTAGGCAGGCAGAATTCTTTTCTTTTTCCTCACCAAAAAAGGTAGGTGAAAACGATGGGAAATTTAGGGAAAAAGAGGAGAGTTCAGGGTTTTAAAACACAAAAGAAAAAAAGCTCTATTTAACTAGGGAATTGTAATAATTGAGATACTATTAATTGTATATTTCTGAAAGCAGAAATGGTTAAGTTGTGGTTTGGAGGAATATATGGGGGAAATTATTTGGTTTATTATTATTGGTAAATATAATTAATTGATTTGTAAGAAATTGGATTGCATGGAAATAATTGGAATATTCATGTTCATATTGATTAATATACAAAAAAGGTAGTTATATAACTAATTGATTTATATTAAAATGTTGAATTTATATTAAACAACTAATATTACATAATTAACCAATGTGAGGATGGATATAAAAATAGATGACAATGGGAAGGGGTAGAATATAGAATAGAAGGGAAAAATTGAATTTGATTAAGATTAGAGATGAGGATGAAGGGTAATATTGGTTTTTTACAAAAATAGATGAGGAATAAATATGGCAAAAAGGAAATATAGAAATTGTAAATTTAATTGAAATGACTAAACACTGTTTAAATTTGTGAACCGGCCAAATACTCTGTTCAAAGAAAATACATTGAATGTTTGTATGTGTGTTTCTAATTATTATTTATTCATATTTGTTCCCTTTTATTCTTTAAAGTTTAACAATTCATTCTTTATCTTAATATCTTTATATTTGTTTGGGGTTGGCTTTCTTCCCTTTCATCTTTTTTATTGTACAGCAATCTTTCTCCTCAAACCTACCACCTCTCTCTTTTCTTTCCTTCTTACTTTCTCTTCCTCCCCCTCTTCTCCTCCTCCCTACTTCCTCTTCCTTTCTCCTTCTCCTCCTCTCTTCCTCCCTCTCTTACCCTCACCCCTACTCTAATTTCCCTTCCCTTCCTTCATCCCTCTCTATTGCTGTATCCTTTTATGCATATGGACTACTCAGAGGGCTGAAAAAGCTATTTCTGACTGGTCCTCGCACTTTTGACCAGTCCTCGAATTTATGACTGTCCTCACATTTTACGTTTTTGCCCTATCTTGTCACCATGGTGAAGAGAAGCAGTTGTGAAATGAGTGACATGGTTGTTAAGAAAGCTGCACGGGCATAAATGTGAGGATGGTCATAAGTGTGAGGACCGGTCAAAAGTGCGAGGCCCAGTCAGAAATGACTTTTTTCAGCCCTCTGAGTAGTCTCTATGCACATAGCCACGCCCACCCAGTCACATAAGCTAGCCACGCCTACACAGTCACATGACCAGCCAGCCACGCCCACCCAGTCACATGATTGCCAAGCCACACCCCCAACTAAGCCACGCCCACAGAACCTGTTGTTAAAAAAATTGAATCCCACCACTGGTGAAAGGGCCTCATAAGTGGAATAGCCTAGGGCCTCTTTTCATCTAAATCCGGCCCTGACTAGATCTTACTTCTTTAGAGAACGGGGAGGGAGGGAATCGGACTAACAATCTAGGCTGCGAAGCAGCAATAGCAAAGAGATATAGAAATTCGAAACTTGTTTGAATTTTTGCAGCTCAGGAACGGGGGCTCTGGTGGGCTGACGGCTAAAGGATGAGTTAGTAAAATTGCAATAATGAATCGGGCATCACTGGAAGGAGACTCACAGCTATTTCTGATGCTATTATACCAAGTAACTAGGCAGTGATATACATGTTCCTCAATTAATTAAATGGGGCTCCAAATCGTGTAGTCACGTGACGTATCGCGATGGTTTTCGCGGATCTGGGGTGGACGTGGCCTGGGCATGACGCATCCGGCCCGCCCGTTTGACACCCCACTGTAGTGAAAACGTCACGCCTCACACCCCGATCTACCAGCTCATAGGATCACCTTCTTCGGCAGTGATTCCTCCCACCGGAGGAGGGTGCTAGAAAGGCCCCCGAGCTCCCGGAGGAAGTCGCAAGTGCGCGAAGCGCATTCTGGGGCCGAGATTTTCTTCCGCCTTTCCTCTCGGAGGGCTTTGGTGGAGGCCGCCTCGACTTTTTTTACTGTTGCGCGACGTCACGCTATCAGTGTCTCCTTTTGCTCTTAGGCAGCTGTATAAAAAAGGACTCTTTCCTTTTCGTTCGGGTTTGTCAAGGCTGTGTCCGTTGACTGGTAGCTGCCACCATGCCGAAGAACAAAGGTGAGGCTTTCTGACCCTCCCCCCTCCCAATTTGGCTTCCACGCGACTCCTCTCCCTCCCTCCCTTCGCCCGTTGTCTGTAGATGAATCCGCCCGAGGGGAAGGTGCCGTTCGCACCGTCGACCTGGCTCTTTCTGTGCTTTCTTGGATCCAAAGGCTTTAGTTTTGTGCCAGGACTTCGGGTCTCCACGTGTTTCCTCCCGCGCCTTCTCCCTTGTTTCTGGTTGAAGCCTTTTCCTAAGATAGTTGACCGAGAAATAAGCCTGCTTGAACTAAATTACGTGCTGCTACATAATTTTCAGACAAAAGTAGTCTCTATTTAATAAAGTAGAGCTTACTGCTAAAGGGTATGGTTACAGGTTGATTCGTTCTGGTTTTGACCGGTTATTACACATTTAACACGAATAAGAGGCTGTTGGTTTAATTTTATGAATCGTAGGTTGGCATTGATTTTTAGACACTTAATATTCTTTTTGTTTTCCTGCTTGATAATTGATACCTGGATTTCTTTTTTGACCTTATACCTCTCATTTCTGTCACTAGAGGGGTACAAGAATGCCTTTCAGAACTGCTTAAATTATTGAATGTTCCTACTGATTATTATCAGGATACATTCCCCTGTGATGTTTAAAAACATCCCACATTGATGGAACACTGAATAACTGGGTTTTTTTTAATTGTTTTAATATTGAAAATGGTATTACACTACTGTGAAAACTAAATTGTGGTGGTTTATTTTTAAACAAATTCAGATTTGAAGCTGTTCTTAATTGCATATGTGTACACCTGTATACCATATGTGTGCATACACAGGCATGTACGCAAACATATGCATACAAAATATTTAGGTTCCCCAAACCAGTGGGGAACCTTACCTTATTACTTTTTCATTTTTTTGCAATTTAGGAAAGGGAGGTAAAAACAGACGACGAGGTAAGAATGAGAATGAATCTGAAAAAAGAGAATTGGTTTTTAAAGAGGATGGACAAGGTAAGATGTATTGTCTTCTTTCATTGCCTAATATTATGCAGTTCTGTAGGAGGAAGGCTTATTTGTGGTGTTCTTGCAGAAGATTGAATTGATAGATGAAAAATTAGGCCTCACCCAAGGGATGTACTCTAACAAAAAGAATATTTTTTGTTGAAAAATTGGTAAAAGATGCAGAGTAGATCAGAATGTATATAATGAGAAATATAGTGGAAAGAACATTTTTGGGAAAGTACTGGTACGTATCTGAGTGTCTATAGTAAAAAGAAATCTCAGTTTCTTTGTACACTTTCATTACTGTGTCATTCGGTTATTTTGTGTTGACAAATTCTTTTAAAACACTAAGCTGAAATAAGGTGACTTGCAGGAAGCCATAGAATGAAAAAGCAGAACCTAAAAATACATGAATTAATGTGCTCATATCACATGATACAGAGGTCATATAGCCTGTTGCATGTTTTTTTTTCAAACCATATTGATATGAAAAATGTAGAACAGATTTAATCCTAGCATAAGATATCTTATATTAGTTTAGCATAATAAATTTTATTTTTAATTGAAGGGATGAGAATTTGCAGTCTTGGGCTGTTGTGTGTGTAAGAGTGAGTGAGAGAGAGGGGGGGAGAGGGAGGGACGGAATATTCCTATGTGAATTGGAGAGGGGTTGTTTTTTGTTTTTATGATGGCAATAGTAAATAGTGTTCTTTTACAATATTTACTGCTGAACTGCTGCCAAGGCTTTTGATACATTGAAGCATTCCCACTCAGCAGGGCTCATCTGGACAGGTTTTTTTGAGCAAACTGAGAAACCTGTCAATTACAGAACCAAACGCCCCACTTCTAGGAGAGAAAGAACATGTCCTTGCTATTCTGTTCATGTTCCTGACTCCACTACAGAAGAGTCTCATCTGGAATTGGAGATAAGAATCCCAGCATTTAGAATTACAATGAGACCACATGAAAACAAAATGATAACAAGGCAAAGAGCGGCAGCTTGCTTGGGAAGGAAAGTGATTGGAGCTGAAGCTTTACAAAATCTTGACTAGTGAATCAGGACTGGAAAATTAAGGATCCCCAGAATTAATCTTCTGCTGGAATACTTCTCTAATAACCTTCTTGAAGTTGTATGTCACAGGGACTGCATTAATTCCTGATCTTTAGATTGGGCATGTAACACTTGAGACATAAAATAAGTCATGGATCAGATTGAGAATATTGGAAGAATTAACTATGAATTCTTTATAGAATTAATTCTGTGTTAGAATTTAAATTAAAAAAACATTACTCCAAGCTCTCATGTGAAACGTTGATGCAGGGCTTAGTGATGGAGTTTTTACATTTCTTTTTGGAAGGACAAATGGGTACCCAATCAATTCCTAAGTAGAACAGTGCCAAAATCTTTAGCAGGAGAGAGAGGGAGCTGAACAGGACATTCTTGTGTTTAGCAGAGGAAGAAAGGACACCCCATAGAAGAGAAAGTCTTTGTCTATTGTGGTCACCCAGAATAGTTTGTATGTCACTATTTAGAAGCAAGAAAACATAGACAAGTGAGGAAATGGAAGGCCACAAACTAGTGGAGCACTTGACCTGAGGAGTAACCAAAACTTATCCAGTGTTTTTTAGTACATTTTCATTTTTCATCTCAGTGACTCAGTAGTTAGGTCTGCCTTATGATTACTGTTTCAGTTTTGATGGATTCAAGTAATTTCACAGGCCTGGAGTATACTTTTACTTACCCAGAATGCCATGTTCACCATATTAAATTCCAAATGCCAAAGAGCTACATTACAGTGAAGTATGAAGGAATCATAAGCTACCGTATTTTCTGGCGTATAAGACGACTGGGCGTATAAGACGACCCCTGAATTTTCCTGTTAAAATATAGGGTTTGGGTTATACTCACCGTATAAGACTACCCCTCTTCCAACACACACCAAATAAAAATTAAAAAAACATCAACTGGCTCACCCACAATGTAAAAGCAGCTGTGCTAGACCCAAAATGGCCCCTGAAACAAGCAGGAACGTCACACAGCCACAAAAAGCCCAAAAAAACAACTTTCACACTTTACACACACACAACACAACACAACACAACACAACACAACTGGCTCACCCACAATGTAAAAGCAGCTGTGTTAGACCCAAAATGGCCCCTGAAACAAGCAGGAACCTCACACAGCCACAAAAAGCCCAAAAAACCAACTTTCACACTTTACACACACAAAATTCCACATACAACTTTGTGAGATTTTGTGTGTTTGTGTAGTTAGAGTGAAACACTACAAAAACACACTAAATCTCAGCTGCACAAATATTTTATTTTATTTTATTTTTATTTTTATATGAAAGCTAAATTTAAAACTTCCTAAACTTTAAATGGCTAGGTCTAAAAAAGAACAACTAAAAAAACCCCCCAATTAACTATTTTTTTTAAAGATCCCAAAGGGGGGAAAATTTACCCAATAGAACAGGGGTCTCCAACCTTGGCAACTTTAAGACTTGTAGACTTCAACTCCCAGAATTCCTCAGCCAGCTTTGTTTTGCTGGCTGAGGAATTCTGGGAGTTGAAGTCCACAACTCCCTGCCTGCTTGATTGCAGGCAGGGAGTTGCTTGCTGATGGAATGGATTCAGGCAAGCAAAGCAAGGCAAGCAGCTAAGGCAGTGGTTCTCAACCTTCCTAATGCCGCGACCCTTTAATACAGTTCCTCATGTTGTGGTGACCCCCAACGATAAAGTTATTCCTAAAACCATCAAAAATGTGTTTTCCGATGGTCTTAGGCCAGGGGTCCCCAACCTTTTGGACCTCAGGGACCACCAACTTCATAATTTTAAATTTCGCAGTTCAGACAATAATGATTTTACCCAGCCAACAAAGCACACTGTATTTATATCCTTCCTCATCCATTTTCTTAAAAAAGAGGGGAAAAAAACACTTTTAAGGTTTTACTAAAAACAGTTTCCAATTACATAGTATTGGCATAAAGCCTGGTTAAAGCAAACATGCTTAGTCATAAAGACTTGAGGCAAGCCATTCTGCTTAAGGTTTAAATTGAACTTAAGTGCATTATCCGGTATAATGCAGATTAATTCTGGCTGAAATACCATAAATTGGGCATCTTAACCATAAACCAGGGATATGAATTTTTTTGGTATGGATGCTGAAGGCTATAGTAAGTACAACATGTTGGAGCCTGCACTGCAATAGGGGACGGAAACATATAAAAGCTTTAAAAATACAGGAAGATTCAATATTGTTAATGTAATCATCTGGACTCCCAGTACGGGATGGGGTCCTTCAGGCACTCTCCATCCTCTCTGTCGCTCTTTCTCTGTCTCCCACTCTTTCTCTCTCATTCTCTCTTTCTCTCTCTCTCATTTTCGCTTTCTCTCTCTCTCTCTCCCTCTCTTTCTTTCTCTCCCACTTTTTCTCATTCTCTCTTTCTCCCCCCTCTCTCTCCCCCACTCTCTCATTCTCTCTTTCTTTCTCTCTCCCACTCTTTCTCTCATTCTTTCTCCACCCTCTTTCTCTCTCTCTCTTTCTCCCACTCTCTTTCTCCCCTTCTCTCTCCCCCCACTCTCTCATTCTCTCATTCTCTCTGTTCCCCTTTCTCTCTCCCCCCCACTTTCTCTCTCTCATTCTGATTCTCTTTCATTTTGTCTCTCTCTCTCATTCTCTGATTCTTTGATTCTCTCTCTTTGATTCTCTGTCTCTTTGTCTCTCATTCTCTCTCTCTCACTCTCTCTGATTCTCTCTGTCTCTTTCTCTCATTCTCTTTCATTCTGTCTTTTTCTCTTTCATTCTTTGTCTCTTTCTCTCTCTGTCTCATTCTGATTCTCTCTCTTTCTTTCTCTCTCATTCTCTCTCATCTCAATGGCCAGCCAGTGTCTTGGGGCTGAGAGGAAGTCAAGCATCTCCCTGAGAGACTGAGGGCCGGAAGAAGTGTGGGAGCGAAGCACTTGAACTTGTGCGGCATGAGCATTCGCCTTGGTATATTTGCGCCAGCCGATGGCCAAGGCAGCCCTCATCTCTCTGCTGAAAGTGCAGCATCAGGATTCTGCCTTGGTATATTTGCAGCGCAAGGCAGCCTTCATTTCCTGCTGCTTGGGACTCAGAGTGGTAAACGGTGACTCGTCCGGGGAGCAGCTGGATTTTGCTCTCCATTGCAGACGCCAAATCAGCCCCCTGCAAGATCTCATCTTTTGAGGAGCGCTCCCTGAAGTGGCACTGGAAACTTTGGTCGGGCTCCTCCAGAGACGAGAGCTTGCAGGGAGCCGATCTGGTGTCTGCAATGGAAAGCAAAATCCAACTTCTTCTCTCTGCTGTGAAACTCTGCTCAGCAACCAGCTGGGTCCAGCATTCAGCAGCATGCAGCCTTGACGAGATCGGCACAGCTTCCCGAATCTGAGTTGCTGGTGCTGACTGATGACGCGACGGGAGCGCCGACAACATTGACAGGAAGCTGTGCCGATCTAGTCAAGGCTGCATGCTGCTGAATGCTGGAACCAGCTGGTTGCTGAGCGGAGCTTCCCCCAGGCATCTAGGGGGATATTACCGACGCTCCAACTTCCCCAGCTGACCCCCACTGATGGCGAGCCCCACCGGTCTGGGGAAGTCGGAGCGTCGGTAATATCCCCCTGGATGCCTGCGGGAAGCTCCGCGCAGCAACCAGCTGGTTCCAGCATTCAGCAGCATGCAGCCTTGAGATTGGCACAGCTTCCCCTCAATGTTGTCGGCGCTCCTGTAGCGTCATCGGTCAGCGCCAGCAACTCAGATTCGGGTACCAGGCGTATAAGATGACCCCCGACTTTTGAGATGATTTTCCTGTGTTAAAAAGTTGTCTTATACGCCAGAAAATACGGTACTTTCCAAATATTCTGAACTTTGATATGTCCTCAGTAGAAAGGAAGCAAGCTAATTATCTTCCCAGACTATACAACTATATTATAAATATGTCATGTTCTCAAACACTGTTTTTATTCTCTCTCTCTACTTGAATAAGAAACCTAAGCACAGGAAGGCAGATATTTAGATTTTATCTTCCCAGTGACATCATAGAAAAGTCTAGGACAGTGATGGCTAACCTTTTTGCCGCCGAGTGCCAAAAGTGGGGGGAGCTTGGGGGGGGTCACGTGCGTGCCCACACCCATAATTCAATGCCCCCCCGCCCCCCGCACATGCATGTGCAGCGTGACAGCAAAAAGGTGAGCCCGGTAGGCCCATTTTTCTCTCTCCGCAGGCTCCAGAGGCTTGGAGCCTGGGGAGGGCAAAAACAGCCTTACACACACACACCCCGGATGCCCTCTGGAGGCTGGAAACAGCCCGCTTCCCAACTTCTGGTGGGCCCGGAAGGCCTGAAAATCAGCTGGCCGGCCCGCACATGCACGCTGGAGTTGAGTTAGGGCAATGCTTGCGTGCCCACAGATATGGCTCCGCGTGCCACCTGTGGCACACGTGCCATAGGTTCGCCATCACGGGTCTAGGAAATTACATTATATAATAAAAGAGCCTTGATAGTACAGTGGTTTAGTGCACCCTGTTATTAACACAGCTGCCTGCAGTTTCTGCTGGTTCGAATCTCTCCAAGGCTCATGGTTGACTCAGCCTTCCATCCTTTCTAAGGTAGGTGAAATGAGGACCCAGTTTGTGGGGGCAATAAGCTGACTTTGTATAAAATATACAAAAGAATGAAGGCTATTGCTTAACGCATTGTAAGCCGCCCTGAGTCTCCGGAGAAGGGCGGCATATAAATCAAATTAAAAATAATAATAATAATAATAATAATTACAGAGTGACAACCTGATTAATGCTTCAGAATAAAGGACAAAGCATATTTATTTAAATTTATTAAAATGTCTTTGCTACCTTCACTAAGGATTTATTGAGGCATTCAACTTAGATCAGGGGTGTCAAACTTGATTTCATTGAGGGCCACATCAGGGTTGTGTTTGACCTCAGGGTATGTGTGTGGCCAGCTCAATGTCACTTGTCTCGGAGGCACCTGTGGCGGCTAAGTGCTAAGGCAGGACTTCTCTCAGACCTTTCCTCATAATCAACCAACCTTCCTTCCTTCCTTCCTTCCTTCCTTCCTTCCTTCCTTCCTTCCTTCCTCCCTCCCTCCCTCCCTCCCTCCCTCCCCTCTTTCCTTATTTTTCCTTCCTTGTTCTCTTCCCATCTTTCCTTATTTTCTTTGTCTTTCCTCTTTCCCTTTCTCCTTTCCTGTCCCTTCTTGGATGCTCAAATGCAAAAGGGGAAACATTTCTCCTTTTGTTTTATTTTGCTTTTAGTTTGTTTCACTAGCCTTCACATGGCTCCCCGGGCCCCATTTTTGGCTGTGACGGCCTCCTGCAGCCCTCTACCAGAGAAAACAGAGCTTTTGGAATCCAAAATTTCCCACACATCTGCATTTTGTACCAGCTGAAGGTTCCAGATACTTTTCAAAGTGCTTTTATATGTATGTGTAGCATTGGCACATACACAAAGCAAGGCTTGCATCAAAACACCATGTCTGCCATCTTGATTTTTTTTGACATACAAGTACCCTATGAATACCACTGCACAAATAGGTAAACTTGTGTACCATTATTCCAAGCAATTTAAAAAGTCAAATACAACAGCTTGAATTGAGATTGAAAGAACATGGGAATAGAGCACTCATATAGCAATATGTTTTAAGAATAACAGTTGGCTGTACCAGCCAGGTTTATAGATTTTTTTAATTATACTTTTATTTAAAAGGTAATATAAGACTACAAGCCTACAACATGTTTACCTTATCTGGATTTAGTTTATTTATTGCTACCCATCTGGATCCTCATATTTGACAGAATATGGCTCAGTATTTTATTACTTTGCTTAAATCCGAGAGAGGGAAATAGTGAGTTGAACAGCTGATATCTTGGTTGAGATCAACCCTGGATCTTATGATGCATTTTGTTTAAGACCCTCACACCCCAAATCTGAAATATCTACATACTTTGCTTTTTCAATATGTGAATCATGAGTCAATTGATGGATAAAGAAATTCAAATAGCTATAGCTACTTTATGATACAAGGTTTTTAAAATCAACTGTCATGTATTAAAATCTTGAGTCTGTTTCTCTCTGGTATAATAGCTATAAATGTGTTACATTATTATAAAATTATCAAATTCCTAAATCATGTGTTCCAGAATATGCCCAAGTTATCAAGATGTTGGGAAATGGCAGACTGGAGGCATTATGTTTCGATGGTGTAAAAAGGCTTTGTCATATCAGAGGAAAGTTAAGAAAAAAGGTATGTTAACGCATTCTGATATATGGATAACCTCAAATATGTTGGTATATTAAACAACTAATGTTACAGTATCTTATCTTAAATATCTTAAAAATTAAAAAAATATCTTTAAATATTTTCTTGGGTCACTAGTTATATATGTAAAGGAAGTATTGTGCTATGAAGGGCACAGTTCACTCCACCAAATCAAGATCTTGGAACCAGTAGCAGGTACCAGTAGCAGCTTCTAAAGCACAACTGATCTTTGGAGAGAGAATCAATGAGAAAAGCAGGCAAACCACGGAGATCGCTTCATTCACTAGTGCATTAGGGCTAAAAAAAACTTCACAGCTGAGAGTCGGAGGGCTTCACTGCTAGCACCTCATTAGAGCTGAAAAAAAGCTTCACAGCTGAGAGTTGGAGGGAGCAGGCAAAGCAGGGAAACGGAGATCGCTTCACTCCCTAGCGCCTTGTTAGGGCTGAAAAAAAGCTTCGAAAAAGCTACATTTGGAGTGTAAGATGCACCCAAATTTTCAGCCTCTTTTAGGAGGGAAAAAAGTGTGTCTTATACTCCAAAAAATATGGTAACTTATCCCATTGCTAATGACTCATTGAAGATAGTCTCCTCTCTAACTGTAAACATGCAGCGTTTTGGATCTATTCTGTATTAGCATTGCAGATATCTTTATAACTCAAAACTTCAATAGTCCAAGATTAATGGAATAGGTGCTATTGTACATTATCCAAACTTTCAAAAGTTTAAAAATTTCTACAATCAGAATTTTGAAAGTTGAAAGTGGTATCTTATTACTTTTTTTCCATATGGTGTTTCTGCTGCAGAATGCATAACTAAATGTGAAGACATGCAGGTACACCCAATTGTGATTTAACCTCTACATTAGTGTGCAATATTATGCACACATCATATGGTATTCAGCAACTGATCAAGTACTTGAATTATATAGCATTCACCAAGATTTATTGCTTATCTCAGCCAATTGCAGGTCTTTTAAAGATTACATTTCATTAAGTGTTTCAAGTGAGAACTCATAATTTTTTAAATGTTAGTCTGGAAAAAAGGATAAAATTCTTCAGTTTTTTCTTCTGATTTTTAGGTTTGGATAAATACATCTGATATCATATTGGTGGGTTTAAGAGACTACCAGGTAAGTTACTATTAATATATAATGCAATGTGATGACAGTTTGGTTTAATTTTTGTCAACAGAAGGTTGAACTCATAAACACTGATGTAGTCAATCACGTTTATCTTTATTTTGTACCGTATTCTCCCAAAAATATGACCTGGTCTTATTTTGCGGGTGTGTGTGTGTGAAAATAGACTTATTTTCAGGGGATGCCTCCACCTGCTCTGCCTGCTGGCCCTGCTGCTGTTGGCCCCCCCCCCCCCCCCGTGCCTCTGGCCAGCTGCTGGGCCTGCTACACCTGCTGGCTTCGCAGGGGCTCTTTGCCCTCCTGGCCACACTGCTCTCAGCTGCCCTGCAGCATTGAAACTCTGTGGCAGCCCTACAGGAACTCTGGCAGCCCTACAGCAGGAGGGAGGGGGAGATTGCCCCTTCCTCCTTTATGCCCCCAAACCCTGGCCGCCGAGCCCATGGCCTGCTCCCCAGCACTGGAAAGACCAGCAAGACCCGCAACTCAATGCTACTGATATGCTGTGCAATGCAAGCCATGCAAAGCAACCCAGCCAGACCCTCTTTGCTTCGGGGATGATCCCAGACTGCGGAGGGTGCGCACAGGATCGTCAGAGCGGAGGCTTCCCGGTGCAATGCTCTGCTGCAGCTCTGGAGCAACTCCGCAACTCTGGAGCAAACCTCCACCTTCCCTGCGCAGGATTGCAAGGCTGGAGGCCTCCACAGCCTTCGCCTGTCCCATTACTGCTGCGCTAGCCTCTTGCTGCTCTTAGCTGAGCTGCTCCTGCTGGCCTGCCAGGGTCCCTTTGCCAGCAGTTGCAAGTGCAGCCATGCTGCCTCACTCACCGTCACCTTCGGGATGTGCCCCTCGCCTGCCCCTCGCAGCTTCAATGGGCAGGAACTCCGTGGCTGCCCTACAGCAGGACAGACGATGGCCTCGAAAGTTCGTGCCAGGCAGGAGCAGCCCAGCCGAGAGCAGCGTGAGGCCAGCAGCAGCAGGAACGCAACGGGTTGGTTGGCGGAGGCCTCCAGCCTTGCAATCCTGCTCAGGGAAGGTGGTGGTTTGCTCTGGAGTGCGGCAGAGCGTTGTATCGCGAGGCCTCCAACCTGGGGATCCTGTGCACTTCTCCAGACCAGGATCGTCCTCAGGATCAAGAGGGCTGGGGCGCATTGCTTTGCATAGCTTGCATTGCACGGAATACTGGTATCATAGAGTTGCACATCTCGTTCACCTTTCCAGTGCAGGGGTGCAGGCCTGGGGCTCAGTGGCCAGGGTTTTGGAGTGCAAAGGAATAAGGGGCGATCTTCCCCTCCCTTCATTCCACTGCAGGGCCGTAACATAGCTCTTGCCCTCTGAAGCTGCAGGGTGGCCGTGTGCGCGGCCAGGAGGGTGAAGAGCCACCACAAGGCCAACAGCAGCAGGCCCACGCATAGATTTGGCCGCTGGAATCACATTGGCGGGGTGGGAAGTGGCCGAGCCTCCATGAGGTAACTGGAGAAGGGAAGGAGCTGCCATACTAAGCGCTGCCTCAGTGATCTCTGCCCATGTTTGTGAGGGGACACATGGTTGAGCTGCCTCCTATTCTAGCCATGCCCACCCCCTTCACTAGGGCTTCTTTTTGTAGTAGGGCTTATATTAGGCCCACACTTAAAAATGAGGCTAGGTCTCATTTTCGGAATAGGTCTCAATTTCGTGGAAACATGGTATGAATGTAAAAAATATAAGGATACTTTTTTTCCTTTGGATGCTTTTTTTTAAAAAAAAAAAAATCTTGAACAGTGCTTTAGGGAAAAGGTAAAAAAATAATTACTGTATTTTTCAGAGTATAAGATGCACTTTAGTTTTTGGGGAGGAAAATAAGAAAAAAGCTGATTGCCGTGTAGATCGGCCTCCCAGAATATCTCCAATCAGCTGTTCCCAGAGGTGAATTTTAGCAACAGGTTCGTTGGTTGTGAGCTGTGCCTTGCTTTTTTTTCAGCCTCTGAAACTTCTGAAACTCTGTTTCAGGGGGGGAAAAAAAAATTCTGCCTCTGAAAGCCTCCGAAACAGAACTTCAGAAAAAAAGCCTCTGAAACCTCCGTTTGAGAGGCTGGGCGGGGCTACATTTGGAGCCTTACACTCCAAAAAATACAGTAACATTTATGAAATTTATGTTTACGCATAATTTATTTTAGCCTAAATTGCTCAAAGATGTAATATTATCTTTCAAAATAGGTAATATACAGGTTATAAGATAGGAAGAAGACATCTTTCTTTGACCATTGATAGTTTTGCAGGGAGGTTGAGTCATGTCCTAAACAGTGTTGAATAAGGATATGATTAGGAGACAGTAACACAAGTACTGGATGTTACAAACTGTGCTTGATTGATTCATCTTCAAACTAAATATAAGTATGTAAATATGTTGATTCTAACCTAGACTATAGTAGTAAGACCAGGAGTTACTTAGCATAGTATTGTAATCTCAGTACAAATAGTATGGGAGACTGAGTGGGTGACTAGTTTTTGCATTACCTAGTAATGTAGGTTTAACTACATTAATATATATATATAGTAGTACAGCCTCTCTGTAATAGTTTTAAAATACATGTTTGAAGAATACTTGGATCTAGTGAGCTATTTACTACAATGTGCTATTCTCATTAGTAGATGATACAGAGAAAATAAAAATAAATTAATATTTAAGTGTCAGAGATTGTGTCTCTCATTAGATATAGCTTGGTAAAAGAAAGTGTTTAAAATGTCGTAATAAAGTTTTCATAGAATTAATCATCTGAAACCATTTTTATCAACAATAATATTATTTAGGATAACAAGGCAGATGTCATTCTAAAATACAATGCAGATGAAGCCAGAAGCCTGAAGGCATATGGAGAACTTCCAGAGCACGGTAAGAAATTCTCATCACACACATACACTAACATACACTAACCCTCTTACTCAAAAACATTTTCAAAAATATATTCATGGCTTGTTTTCATTTTTACATAGCCAAAATTAATGAAACTGATACTTTTGGGCCTGGTGATGATGATGAAATCCAATTTGATGATATTGGAGATGATGATGAAGATATTGATGATGTAAGTAATCAGAAAGATTTCATCTTAAAATTAGCGTTTGTTTCAAAGGGAATGTCTATTCATAATTTTCATCTTCAGCTTTGTTATATCTTACCTTGGGGGACAGGAATTATCTAGCAGGGATATAGTGAAAATTTCTGAGCTTTTAAAGGTACTCTTTCCACTAAAAAAAGTCTGCCCTATGTAATCTGCTAACAGAATTAAGAGGTTCTTAAAGAACATATTCTATTCCTGCTTCACAGTACAACTATATACATCTTAAATCTAGAAATGGAGTACTATAGGTTTGTAGTAATACTCTACAATTTTTGTTCCTATAGTATAGGGTGATGAAAAATTGGGATTCAGTTTCACCTCCTGGAGGACCATAGAAGGTTGAAGATGATGCCATTATGTCACTAGAAGGAATGCTGATGAGATTTTTTTCAATTTATCATTTTTGGCAGGGGATTAGAGTTGGCGGCTTCTGAGTGGCAAACACTTCATCCCACCCATAATGCTCCCCTCAAAAGTTCTGTAGTTGCACGACTGAAATTTGGCCATTTTGCCACCAGAACTTGCACTACATGAAACCTATAGGCCCATGATGGGGAACCTATGGCACGTGTGCCAGACAGGGCCTTCTCTGTGGGCACACAAACTGTCATCCCAGCCCAGCTCCAATCGTGTTTCTCCATCGCGTTTCACTCAATCAGTTCCAACTTCTTGCAAAAGAAAAAGATCTTGTGAAGTTGGAATTGCTTGAGTGAACTTTTTAACTCGCATGCTTCACAATGGGGGAGGTGGGGTACCATCCTCTTCCTGAAGGCCCATTATGATGTGGAGCCACAATGTAACCCATGCGGCTCTTTCAACCCTCTGCTGCGGCTCTCTGTCACCCTGTCACAGCACAGGGATGAAAGAGCTGTTACCCTGTCGTGGCGGTGGTGATAATAATAATAATAATAATAATTTTATTTCTATACCGCCCTTCTCCCGAAGGACTCAGGGCGGTGTACAGCCTATTTAAAAACACAAAAAACACGACAACAATTTAAAATTTAAAATCATTAAATAATTAGGCTCCAATTAAAATCCCAGAAATTTAAAATACCCCAATTTAAAACGTTATGTTAGTAACCCTGCCTGGCGGAACAACAGGGTCTTCAGAGCGCAGCGAAACACCCGGAGGTCGGAAATCTTTCGTATTTCGGGGGGCAGTTCATTCCACAGGGCTGGAGCTCCCACAGAGAAGGCCCTCTCCCTGGGTGTCGCCAGCCGACATAACTTGGCTGATGGCACCCGGAGGAGACCCTCTCTGTGGGAGCGGACTGGTCGGTGGGAGGCTATTGGTGGCAGAAGTCGGTCCCTAAGGTACCCGGGTCCTATGCCATGATGGGCAGAGCCTTAGTGTGGGAGCAGAGCACCCCTGTATTTGCCTTTGCACGGCAACAGCATTCCACCTTCGTCACGGTATATTTGCTGTTGCCGCCAGCAAAGAGGGTTGGGAGAGAACGGTGGGGGCCATCCCCCAAGCCTGGCCTTCCTCATCAGCGGAGCCAAGAGAAAGAAGGGGGCAGCGTGGGGAAGCGCTCCCCTCCCCTGGCTAAGCGCCAAGCACAAAAGCCCACTGGGGGGGGGGGAGGTGGCTGGCCCAACAGAAGTGCCCCCATTGGCGAGGCACCTCCAGATATGAGCTGCCACCTTTAAAATGCACTGTGCCTTTAAGGAAGCTGGTCAGCGATGGCTGGGGGGAGGCAGCGAAGGCGTCAGGGCTGCTCCCCCCCTCCTCAGCAAGCCGGGCCTTTACGAGCGTGGAGAGTTGGGTTAGGGATAGGGTTAGGGTTAGAAGGCACGCTCCCACATCGCCCCATCACGCGTTTCTAGCGTGCACTCCTCTGTCCCGAAGTGGGATTTAATGGGGGTAGGGGGAAGGAACGGGGAGCAGGGGGAAGGGTAGTGGGGCTTCTAGGAGGAGATGCCCAGCTGGCTTTCTTTTTGGCGTGGGGTGGGGGGAAGACCCAATAAAAATCCAATTTCCCCCAATAAATGGGGAAAATAAAGGCCCGGTGGTCCAGAGTCCAAAAAGGAGGGTGGGGTCTGTTCGTTGGAGGATCGGAGAGGAAATCAGTTGAAATCTGGATGGGAGGCTTTTCAGAGAGGGATCTGCCTGGATCTCTTCTTCCCTCCTCCTCAGATTCCCCCCTCCTGGCTTTCTTCTCTAGCCTCATTTTAAGGACAGGGGAAAGCAAGGTGGGACAATAGTAGCTGAAAGACTGGGGGGGGGGGTGGTTAGAGTTTATTAAAGATGGGGATGGGGAAAAGATTCCATTCCTTTCCCAAGGACCCAGGGAAAGTGGAATAAAAACAGATGTGTGTATGTGTGTAACTAACAGCCCTGGATAGCTTCTGTCACAAACAAACAACAGCTGCTGTTATTTTTGCTTCTAAGCTACACAGCATTCTTTAATAAATATTAACAATAATGAACCATAATATACAGGATTAAAGGAAGGAAAGTGAAATGGAGGGAAGGAAGATGTGATGGCCTTCTAGAGGCTACTGCACTACACTCTCATCATTCCTGAGTTTTGCTGTTAAAGAAATCCAGTGCCACCAGGGAGAAGTCAAGTTGTGAAAGAGTGATTGAAATTCCTCACAAAACCTCATTCAGGTTAAATTGCCATGTTGGCATTTTGTGATAAAGAAGTGGGTTTTGGGTTGCAGTTTGGGTATTCGGTCCCTAAAAAGTTCGCCACCACTGCTATAGGCTGTTATTGTTGCTTATGATAGTAACAACTTTGGATTTTTTTTTTCTTTTGCTTAACATGAAAGGCAGACAGTGGTAACTTCTGCTCAGAATTAGGACTGATCTTTATTCCTTGAAGTTTAGTTTGATTTCATGTGGCTTGCTTGAAACCTCCTCTAAGCACTTCCCATGGTGAGGAGATGAGATTGTCAAGTTCCAGTCATTTAATGTATTAAAAAGCAGTTCTATTCCTAGTATGTAAATGGATTTCTGAAAGATTGAGCAAAATTGCTTACATGAAAGTACTATAATGATTTATTATACTTCAGTTGTACAAAACTTAAGACTTTGTTTATAAATCCTGAACTGTCCCGAGTAGAAGTTAATGCTTTTTTTCAGACATTGAGGTAGAATTAATTTGTGCACATTATAAAAAGTAATTAAATTATGTTGGTGTTGCACACAGTTGAATTACATGGTACCTGAGTAGTGATGTATTATAACTATTTTCATTTGGTGTCTTTTGTTGAAATACTAGAGGTTTTTATTTTGTTTTGTTATTAGCCATCTGTTATCCAAATTTCATATAAGATGGACAGCTATATACATTTTTAAATAAAATAATAAATGAGAACAATTTCAGTTTGAGCAGAATAGTTCTGAATACAACAGGTTAAGTTTATTGTGGCTGTTACTAGATAGTATTGCCTGTCCTGATCTGAGCAATTGTACTTCAATTGCAAGATTTTAACATTTTTTTTCATATTTTCAGATCTAAACGGAAGTGAGAGGAATACATCCCAACTTTCCACCTCAATTATTTTGTTTTCAAATCCTTATGCCTAAGACGACTGAAACTGCACATTTGTAGTTACAGCACATCAATATGTACCCAATGTTTAACTATTTATATTGCTTTAAAAACAGAAGTTGGACTCAAAAATTAAATGAAATAATATGGCAATTTTTATCTCTATAATACTCTTACATCTGTATGTAAATACACATACTATAAACTCTCATACTGGTTTATGTTTTCAATAAATATCATTAAGACATATTTTTGAAATAAAAAATATTGCCCTATAATTATCAAGAATTTTGATTAAATACTAATTCAGGTTAGTATTCATTTGGCAGGTGTACTGTATTTTCCTGGTATCCCTTGACAACGAAGAATAATTCATTAACAAATGTTAATACCTGAATCTGCTTTATAAGCTTTAGTTGCATGTTATTTTTATACAGGATTTAATCATTGTTTCCTTTTCACAGATATTTTCAGAATGGAGAAAAAATAAATTTCCAAAAATTGTGTATGTTTGAATAGCTATTCTATATTGGTACTGATAATTTAAATTAATTTCTGAGTGGCTCAGTGGCTAAGACGCTGACCTTGTCAATTGAAAGGTAGGCAGTTCAGCAGTTCAAATCCCTAGTGCCACATAATGGGGTGAGCTCCCGTTTCTTGTCCCAGTTTCTGCCAACCTAGCAGTTTGAAAGCATGTAAAAAATGCAAGTAGAAAAATAGGGACCACCTTTGGTGGGAAGGTAACAGCGTTCCATGCGCCTTTGTCATTTAGTCATGCCGGCCACATGACCACGGAGAAGTCTTCGGACAGTACTGGCTCTTCATCTTTGAAATGGAGATGAGCACCACCCCCTAGAGTCGGGAACATATGTGCCAGGGGAACCATTACCTTTTACAGTGTTTCCATGGGTTCCTTAGGGGGAGTTTGGCTTAGCAGATTCACCCTTTCTTTCCTGAAAATTGCTGTAGAGATTTGGGAGTGATGTGCTCAGATGGCAGGAGGGGAAAAAAGCCGGTATCTACCATAATAACAAGAATTGATGCTATTTGTGGAAGGGCAAGCTTAGATTCAATTCAGTTAAATATTTTTGCATCACAATAAGTTCTTTAGAAAGATTTTGTTTTAGTTTTAGATTGAGCGTATTATGAGGTACAATTTGATAAGTAATTTTGTATGCTCTCTATCAGAATATGTAAATATGACATTCTGAAAACTTTAATCTGAATATGATCAAAGAGACAAATGAATTGTTTCAAGTTTGAGTAGAAGACCTAAACTTTCAGCAAAGATTAATAGTCATATTTATACATTCTGAATTGTGTTTGGTTGTCCTTAGTATTGTATTGTGTATTTTGTGTATATAAACTTATTTTTTAACAGCATCATTTATATGTGGTTCAATTCTGTTTGCTCTGACAGCAGGTCTTAAAAACTAAGATAGACATGGGAATTTACCTTTGGAATAGCAGTAAAAAGGTATACACTTTACAGTTGTGTATCTTAAAGGTATGCTTATCCAACTTAGGTAAGGTGGGATATTTACTTTATCTTCACAGCAACATGAGTGATACATGAGAGAATATGGTTTGTTAAGATCTCCCAGTGAACTCTGCAATCGACTTTGAATATTAGATTACCAGTGTTTCTCAGAATATATTTTTAAGACATAAATTGCATAATGTTAATGTTCGTTAATTTAAAGGTTTTCTGAAGCTGCTAAATCTCTGACAAATGAATATTAAACTTTCTCAGCATGTAAGATAAATTTTGTTCATGTATTAATAGTATTCTTTCCCTTAGATATCAACTGTTTCCTTAAAAACATACCATGTAATAATATAGTGTGCTGATCAATTGTATTTGAAAAATATGTTCTTAAAGGTTGTTTATGATGGCTTAATTAAACAGGCATGTTACTCAGTTACATTCAACAGAATTGACTGATACCATTTAGTATATAGTGTTCCTTTGTGACATTTCAACTCCCAATCTCATTGAAAAATAGTCCTAACAGTAGTAATGTTTTCTATTATATTCAGTTATCTTTTTTTCATGGTCTAATCAATGAAGTAAGGATTCGTACACCAGCTGCTTCAGTCTCTAATTCTAGTCCCAGATCAGTACACAACTGATTTTTGTTCATGAATTATATAAATAATTGAAAAGCAGGCCCAATTTAAATTGGTATATTGTAGTAGGTTTAAATGTATTCAATCTACTTGTTTGGGGATGAGAAGATCAAACAGTAGTATTTATAGTAAAGAACTGTTTTATAAATTTGGGAATTTAAACTTTTGTTGCCTTAGTTTTTTCAGAGAATAAACAGTTTTTATGTTTCCAGATGCCCATCTATCTTAGTTTCTGCCCCTCTTCACACCTTGTAAATTCAATGAGGGCAGTTTAAGATGGAATTTTATGCAGTCTTTTTACAATTATGAATGAATTGTCACCACAGGTGGCATCAAAGATCTGATCTCCAAAACAAAAATGTGCTTGGACAAGATTAATATTAAATAAATAATTCAGCCCGGGACTACAGGCTAAACTAGAAGAGGGAAATGGGATTTTGGATGAAGGCAATGGCAAGGCAACATAGGCAAAAAAATACAGGTTTAGGCAGCACCTATATTGTTGCCAAAAAAACAAAACAAAAAAAAAACCTTATTTTGAACTATCCACATGGTCACTAGGAGTCAAGCTTTGCTTTTTGACTAGCTTTGCTTTTAGCTCCCAAGCTAAACGTGAAACATTCCCACTTGTAAAAACTATGTTATGCAGACTTAGAATATATTCTATCCTGTTTTCCCCAAAATAAGACATCCCCTGATAATAAGCCCAATCGGGTTTTTGAGCGCATGCAATAAGGCCAAGCGCTTATTTCAGGGTTCAAAAAAATATAAGACAGGGTCTTATTTTCAGGGAAACACGGTACTAAGATAATCAATTGCATTCAATTGCATTGAAAGGTAAATCAATATAAAATAAGTACAATTATAACAGTTTGGTGATAATTGATTTAAATCAATGCTTATATAAAAGTCTAGTGTATTCCTTATTTTCTATCAAACTTAATACTTTAAAGTAGCTTTAATTCTAGTTAGGGTCACTATCTAATTAAAAGTATTCTTGATTAAAGTGAAATTTAACTGTTGTGTTGAATGCTAGCCGATGCACATGAATGCTATTCAGTGGTAATTCATATTTCAACTCTGGACAAATTGATAATGGATGTTTCAAGCAATATTCCCAGTATCTTGATTAAAATGAATCATTCCTCATAAACAGGAAATAATCTGTACATATTGGTGAAATTGAACATGAAGAATTCAAGTTAGATTCAACAATTCCTAATTCTAAGTTTTGATTAGCACTTGCATTACTTACATTTCTTGATTAAAATGTTATTTCTAGTTCAATAATTAGAAAATCTGATTTTTGTTTAAAACCAGTTTTGTTTCTTTAAGGTAAACCATGGTATGTGTGTTTCGGGTTTGCAAAACTCATCATCTATGGGTCAGCTTTTTATTGCTGTAGTGTAGAATGTAGATATTGATACTCTCATATAATTATCCCAACAATTTATTACATTTTTGTCTTTGAATGCTCCTGTTTAGAAATTAAAACAATCTTTGAATTAAATTCCATTAAAATACTTTATTTCATGTAAATATGAGAATTATTTTTTCTTATAAAGATGACAGTACCATGTTTCCTCGAAAATAAGACCCTGTCTTATATTTTTTTGAACATTGAAATAAGCACTTGGCCTTATTGCCATGCGCTCAAAAGCCTGATTGGGATTATTATCAGGGGATGTCTTATTTTGGGGAAACGGAATATAAGTGGAATGCATTATGTGATCTATAAAGACTTTGTCAGTTAAGTATATTTATGTAACCATAAAACTATAAAGTTTTCAGTTTGCTATTGACTTTCAAAAAATCTATTCTTGATTTTTATAATCCCTTTCAATTTTCAAATAGATTAGATTAACAGAGTTGGAAGGGACTTTGTAGGCCATTTAGCCCAAGCAGGCGACCCTACACCATTTCTGACAAATGGCAGTCCAATCTTTTCTTGAAAGTCTCAAATGATGAAGCTCCGACAACTTCCGAAGGCAAGCTGTTCCATTGGCTGATTGTTCTCACTGTCAGAAAGTTCCTCCTCATTTCTAGATTGAATCTCTCCTTGGTCAGTTTCCATCCATTATTCCTTGTCTGGCTTTCAGGTGCTTTGGAAAATAGCTTGACCCCCCTCCTCTCTGTGGCAGCTCCTCAAATATTGGAACACTGCTATCATGTCTCCCCTGGCCCTTCTCTTCACTAAACTAGTCATGCCCAGTTCCTGTAACCATTCTTCATATGTTTTAGTCTCCAGCCCCCTAATCATCCTGGTTGCTCTTCTCTGCACTCTTTCTAGAGTCTCAACATTTTTTTTATAGTGTGGTGACCAAAACTGGATGCAGTACTCTAGGTGTGGTCTTACTAGGGCTTTATAGAGTAGTATTAGTACCTCACTTGATCTTGATTGTATTCCTCTGTTAATGCAATTTAGGATTGCATTGGCTTTTTTGGCTGCCGCTGCACACTGCTGCCTCATATTTACCTGGTTGTCCACTAAGACTCCAAGATCCCTCTCACAATCACTGCTATTAAGCCTGGTTTTACCCAGTTTATATATGCACTTTTGGTTTTTCTTACCTAAGTGTAGGACTTTACTTTTCTCTACATTGAATTTCATTTTGTTAGATAGGGCCCAGTGTTCAAGTCTGTCAAGATCCATCTGGATCTTGAGCCTATCTTAGGGTGTTAGCTATTCCTGCCAGCTTAGTATCATTTGCAAATTTGAAAAGTTCCCCTTCTATTCCCTCATCTAAGTCATTTATGAAGATATTGAAGAGTACTGGGCCTAAGACAGAACCTTGTGGTGCCCCACTGCTTCCCTCTATATAGATGTAAACCCTTTAAGGACTACTCATTGAATACAGTTTGTCAGCCAGTTAAGAATCCATCTGGTGGTGATGCTATTTATCCCAATTTTTTCTAGTTTACCAAGAAGTAGGTTGTGGTCTACCTTGTCAAGTGCCTTGCTGAAGTCTAAGTATATTATGTCCACAGTATTTCGCTGGTTGTCTAATTTAGTCACTGTTGAAGAATGAAATAAGATTGGTTTGGCATGATCTGTTTTTAACAAACCCATGCTGACTGCTAGTTATTACTTTACTCGTTTCTAGATGTTGGCAGATACATTTTTTTATTATCTTTTCCAGTATCTTTCCGGATCAATGTGTTAAAAGGCCTCTTGGGCATAGCTGCCACCTCTGTTTAAACAGTAGCTGTGAGTCTAAGAAGAACCCCAGATTGTGCACAAATCTCACATAGGAAAGTACAATTAATTGAAGACAATTGGGTGGACCAAACACTCAGAGCCACTCAATTTTGTCACAACTGAGCCAGTATCTATCACCTGCTCTGCAGAGCATTCAGACACAGAATTTCAACATCATCACTTAGTTGGCCTGTGATCAACTTCAACAGAACCTTCAACAGCACTAGGTACTTATCCTGGGTCAAGATGTATAATCAACTTATTGATTATACTTAACTCAAAACTGACAGATGACTTCAACGGATTCATATGGATGTTAAGCAAAACTATATCTTTGACAATCCTTTGCCAACCTGACATCAGTCTGCTTCACAATGTTCCATGTTTGCCATATTTCTTTTAGACAGTGGCTTTATATCCTATATCTATCTGTCTATTTCTCATGAGGATTCTAATATTCAGTTTTCTAATCACATTCCACAGCTTGATATGGATGATACAATCAAAGGCCTCTTTATAATCAATGAAGCATAATATGATTTTTTTGATATTTTTATATTTTTCAATTATTCAGTACTGTATATCAGGAATAATGTCTCCTATACCTCAGCTTTTTCTAAGGTCAGCTTAAACATCTTGCTTTTCTGTTTCCATATAAACTAATCTGCTGAATGATTCTAAGTGTTATTTTGCTAATATATGAAATTAAGGATATTGATGATTTGCATACTGTTAAATTTCCTTTCTTTGGTATTTATATGTACATTGCCTACAACTACAGGTAGTTCTCGACTTACAACCACAATTGAGCCCAGAATTTATGTTGCCAAGTGAAAAATTTATTAAGTGAGTTTTGTCCCATTTAACGAATTTTCTTGCCACATTTGTTAAGCAAATCACTGCAATTGTTAAATTAGTAACACGGTTGTTAAGTGAATCTGGCTTCCCCATTGACTTTACTTGTCAGAACGTCATAAAAGATGATCACATGACCCCAGGACACTGCAACTGTCATAAATGCGAGGCAGTTGTCAAGTATCTAAATGTAATCATGTGACCTTGGAGATGTTGCCACGGTCATGTGAAAAACCGTCGTAAGTCACTTTTTTTTAGTGCCGTTGTAACTTCAAGCAGCCACTAAATGAATGGTTGTAAATTGAGAACTACCTGTATAGGCTTGGTAATGACAGAGTGCTAATTTAACATCCTCTTACAGAATAACAGAAGGCCATCTAGTCCAACTCCCTGCTCAAGCAGGAGACCCTATACCATTTTGGACAAACGTTCAATCTCTTCTTTAAAACCTCCAGTGATAGAGGACCCACAACCTCTGAAGGAAGGCCATTCCACTAATTGTTCTCACTGACAGAAAATTTCTTGATAATTCTAGGTCAGATCATTCTTTCATAATGTTCACCCCATTACTTCTTGTCCTGCCTCAGATATTTGGGAAAATAGATCGATCCCCTCTTCCCCGTGACAGCACTTCAAATATTACAAGATTGCTATCCTGTCACCCCTAGTCATTCTCTTTGTTAGACTAGACATATCCAATTCCTGCAACCATTCATTGAATGCTTTAGCCTTCAGTCCTCTAATCATCTTTGTTGCTCTTCTCTACTCTT